CCCTTCCTTCCTTCCTTCCTTCCTTCCTTCCTTCCTTCCTTCCTTCCCACTTTTTCTAACACTTTCTCCTGCTTCCTGCCTAAAATGAGGATGCTTTAAATTAGATTCTTGCGCTGAGCAGAGGTCAGACTTGATGGCCTCAAGGATCCCTTCCCATCCAGTGTTCTAAGGGTGCACCAAAGAGCCTTTCCAAAAGATCTTTTTAGGCTGCCCTTTGAGCAAAGTTGCCCTCAGCTGGGCTCCCGTTGGAAACCAGCGACATCCTCGTGCCAGAAAGAAAATAAAACAAGATTTTTCCTTCCCCTTGCAGAGTGGACACTGCTCCCCCACGGCCCAGAGGGGAGAGCCGGAACAGCAGCTTACGCTCCGTGTTGGGGTACATCCCCCATAATATCAGCTTCATGCAGCGCCGGAAATACGAGTCCCCCAAAGAGCAGGAAGCCATCGAGATGGTCCCTCCAAATCAAGACCCCGAGGCAACCTTGGGTCCCTGCAGCCCGGCCCCTGGGAGCGGTCATCCTTCGGTGGTGACCACCAAGGCCCGCGTTCACTACGACCCCAAAGGGCCTTCCTACAGCCACGCAAAGTCTGCCGTCTCGGGGTCTTCAAACCCCCAGGGCCACGAGAGTCCAAACTCAGGACGAAATGAGTCGGCACCCCGGGACCGGGAGGTGGCCCAGGGAAAACGGGGCCATCCCGGCCAGTACGGGGGCGTCCCTGTCATGATGCCAGCTCAAACCCGAGAAGGACTCGCCATCTAGGTTCCGGCTCTCGATGTTTTCCTGAGCGTCGGCAGACCGTGGGGGGAGGGCGTTCTAAAATGCCCGGAAAGAGGATCTAATCTTGCACCAGATTTTTGTTAAAAAACAAAAAAATGCAATAATTCACCGTTCGCCCGCCTGGTGCCCTCGAGGCACACTCAGACTCATCATCAGGAGCTGATGGGGGTTGTATCCGAATGCCAAGTTGCAGAAAGCGGGCGCAGTTCTTGCCTCTTATTTCCCCAGGCATGCAGGAAAACGTGTATTTTTGCTCTTCTCCAACAGTCCTTTTAGTCACAGAACTGAACCAGCCCACCATTTATTTTTATTTTTTTTTTGCTCTCCAGAATTTGAGAAAACTTAGAAGATTTTTTTTTTTTTTTTTAAGTGGGACACTTTCAGCTCCAGCTTTGGTTTATTTATTTAATTATACCCGGCATGGTCAAGTGTGGGTTTGTCAGGCCAACGGTAACCTGTGTTTTTGTCTTGTGTAACATAAAATAAATGTTTTGTTTGTCAGAAGGAAAGGGCTTAGAAATCCTCTTAATAAACAAGATCCCGTTACCGAAATGGCTCAGGTCCTCTTTTTCCAGATGGTCAATAAAACATGCACCGACCGTTAAAAAGAGCAGCACGGTGTCTTTTTCCTCCTGGCTGTACTGTAAAGGCGACGGAGAAGACATGTACTTTTGGATTTGCAAGATTCTGTTAATGGAACCTTACAATAAAGTAGAATTCGTTTATCTGGTTGTCTTCCTGTCTGGACTACAGGTAGTCCTCAACTTATGACCATTCAATTAGCGACTTTTCAAAGTTATGATGGCGCTGAAAAAAGCTACTTACGACTGGTCCTCGCACTTACTATCATTGCAGCATCCCCGCAGTCACTTGATCACCATTTGCGACCTCCTCAGCCAGCTCCCAGCAAGCAAAATCAGTGGGGAACTATGTGATTTACTTAACGACCGCATGTTTCGCTTAATGACCGCTGCAAAAAATGTTATAAAACCAGGTGTCTGATTTTATCTGATTTTATATGACATGATGCCTCGCTTAATGGCATCCCCACTTAATGACGAATTTTACAGTCCCTATTGTGGTTGTCAAGCAAGGATCACCTGTACCTTGCTAGGCTAACATCAATCTTGCAAGTCTGAAAGTACATTTCTCCCGTGTTGCCTTTACAGCCCAAGAAACTAGGGAGGGTCCCTTCTGAGATGTTTTCCACATCCCCATTCCTTTTGTGGGCCCAGCTGCCTCTTATCCAACCATTCCTCTGGCTGTGGTTCTTCCCCCTGTCTCCCAAGGTCATTCCCATAGACCATTCACATCTTCCCCAGACAGCAAACCAAGCAGTTTACATTCTACATTTTGGAAGTCTGACTTCCGAGAATCTGCAGCCTTGTTCCAGAGCCACAAGGTGGCAGGAAGGAGACCACAATAAACCCTGATGGTCCAGATTTTTCTCAGGAAATGCTAGTCTAGTGAGTTGGCCTGCTGGAGAACCTCCCAATGTGTTAGGTGACGACAGGGTGAGTTCTCGAAGCAGAGATAACTCATTTTCCGGTTCACATTCCCTGAATTGTAAGCTAGCCAGCGGGACTGGCTTCGTACAGTACGTGGAGTCACCAGACAAACCCTTCCACGATCAGATTGCACCACGTTTAGGAGATGGGGCAAACAGAGATGTTGGGTTTTTACCTGAGCTCATGGTGAGGCACGTTGTAGGAATCCAACTGAAGGGCGCGTAGCCTCCCTTTTTTCCTGAGAAAAGAGCAGAGTCAGGCCAAGCCCTAATTTGGCTTTCAGGTCAATGAAGCAAATTGGAAATAGTTATCAACTTTCCTCACACAGTTGGGGCTACCATGTTGACTTTCTTGACACCTGACTCCCATATGCTGATGCCTGCTTCTGTCTTGTTTAAGATTGCAATTTGGCAACAGCTTTGGGGGGAAAAAACCCAAGTCTGTTCTTCCTTTTCTCAAGAACCAAGGACAGTGTTTCTCAACCTTGGCCACTTTAAGTTGGGTGGGCTTCAACTCCCAGAATTCCACAGCCAGCCATGCTGGCTGTGGAATTCTGGAAGTTGAAGTCCACCCAACTTAAAGTGGCCAAGGTTGAGAAACATTGACCGAGGAGATCAGTAGCTCACAATCCCTGCAAAAATCCAAATTATGGTCCCTAAATCCTTAATGTGAAGGTAAAAGGATGGCATGATAGGTTGCAATGAGACTTAAGCCTCTCCCCCCACCCACAAAAAGGACAAATGAAGATAGAACTGAATAAAAGTTGCAGATGGCCACGCATGGATGCGTGCTTAGAAATAATCACAATTGGAGACCTTCCTTTCGGTCTAGCGGGAAAGATTGGCCACGTTCCCAAATATTTTATTTTATTTAGTCATTTCGCAAATGTGTTGAGCAAATTGATTGCCCATCCCACCGGACTTGTGGATCAGCAACTCCAAAGCCTTCTAAGATTCTGTAGCCGGACCCCCGATTTGGACCAACGGCCCCATTTTCTGATAGTCCTTCAAGCTGCCCTCTACAAAGTAGGTCATCTCAGCATCTTCATGGCATTCAAGAATTCCATCTTGACCAACAACACAGGTTCACTCCCTTGTCCAATCTGGTGGCCAGTCAAACCATCAATTACACATGGCTAGACCATCAATTACAAATAGTTTTTACTACCTAGTATTGATTTTATGAATGCTCACATATTTAGGAAGTTAAATTATCTTCAGTCACCTTTGAGGTCCATCAGAGCTTTTTGGTAGCACCAAACATCTGAACTCTATGACTCCTTAGAGCGGTGTTGTCCAAACTTGGCCACTTTAAGATGAGTGGACTTCAACTCCCAGAATTCCCCAGCCAGCAT